GAAGTTTTAAACTGGATTTTTTAAAAGAGCTTACCAAAGGTTGTCTTCTGACAAAATATGAGAAATTTGAAAATTCCTTCGCTGTCCCGCCATTCTCGACCGTTACGGACAGCCACTCTTAAATATTCACAAATACCAACGGTAAAGTAAAGAATGCACAACCTCAACAATACAAACACTTTGAAGCTCGACGGACCTTGACTGGAACACGTGAATATTCTGCACAAACTCGAGGCTAACCCTGTGCAAATGAGTCTGTAATCAAGAAACACAGCGGTAATTTGGAATTCGAAACGGGTCTATTATACCGAAGTTTTTGAAGTAGTCCAATAAACTCGCAGGTCGTGTTTTATCGGGTCTGATACCACTCGGCTACGCCTCAGGGTTTTAAACCCGATAAAACACTCCTGCTCGTTTAGTAAACAGTACTTCAGAATAAATAGGATTCTACTTTCATTTGCAATGACGGAAAGGGACGACTTACCTCAGCTGATTTTTGCTCTTCTTCTTCATCGTCTTCTGTGCTACTTGCACCACCATCTTCTAGTCGATAGTCATACACAAGTCCTTGTTGAGGGAACGGCATCGCGATCTAATGGATAGAATAATAATCTTTGAACAAGTATGACAGAACAATTGATGCTGAGAGGACTGTCCATCCAGAGCGGCGCTTCCAAGTCTCCGGCCTTCATTCGCTTTTATCAATCGCTATAGAACCTTAAACAATAGACAACAGACGTTCACGCCCACAGACACGTCTCCCCCTTCCTTCTGTTCACAAAAAGGCCATTCTTTCTAATATTGCTAGCCCAAAGCTAAGGGTATCTATGTTCATTCCATCGTAGGTCCGTTAGCAAGCAAGTTCAGACCACTTGATATATCCCTCGTAATACAAGCCATGTTATTTTAGCCTGCGTAGAGGGTGATCGAGGGGATTGAGTCTCTACGGGATTGGGATTGGGGAAGGGGGGAAAAAGAGAGAAGGAGCGCTCTCTCCCCCTCCGCTCTTACCCAATCCCCTAGAGCGCCGTTACGCAGACTATGTTCTTTTAATGGTACCCCATAACTAGAGCGATCCATACTTCATACTTCTATACATATGCGCCAGCATGTCCGCATATCAGGGTAATGCTTCCTAGTGCTAGGAACCCCTTCTTTTAGTGGAAGCGCATTTCACATATTACATACCTTTTCTTCTTTCATCTTTTTTCTCAGGAAGTCATTGAACTTTTTACGCCCATCACCGTCAGACGTACCGCCAATGGACCAGACCAACGAGAAAATGAACCACGGCTCAAGAAGGCGTTCAATCAAAGCAGTCTTTTCTGCTGAAATGGTTTTGCCCTAAAAAAATCATAGCCATATATTAGTCAATTCACCAGCAGTATTCAATATCATAAGCGTGTTATTTTATAAAAGAAATATAAAACAGTTTGTCTCAGTATCCCCCGTCAGGGCCGTAGCCAGGATTTTGCCTTGCGGGGCCCAAAAACCCGTTTTCAGAACATTGGTAAGTAGATGACCACCCCCCCCCCCCCCCCCCCCCCACACACACACACACACACACGCACCCCGGCTACGCCCCTCCCGTATTTAGATCATGGTACCAAACAAGGAAAACTTTTTTTTATTTCTACGACAATGTATAGTGAAATGTGTTTGTGTATGGCAAAATACCTCTTTAGGAACAAAAGGCTCAAAGAAACAATCAAGCAGTCTCATCAAGCTGCACGTCAAGTTGCTGTCAACTGTTGGGGCGAATTCTTTCATACTGGTCCGCATGAACTTAAGAGAATCCTGATAACAAATATAGGATAACTTAATCGATGTCCAAAGATATTGCTATACAATTATAATTGTTTTTTGCGTAAATTAGATTAGAATGCTCCCTCGCAGGGGAGTAAATCGAAGGATCAAACGGCCTTCTCTATTCGATCCTGGACTAAAGTGGAATTACAAAACGGGAACAAATGCAAAATACTTTTGAGTACGTTTGGAAATGGTGGAAAGGCTTTCGTTCGTGAGAAATGAGCGGGAAACGAGTAGGTTACGAGTGAAAATCGAGTAGGAATCGATTGGAATGGCAAGGGAAACGAGTGGAATACGCGTGGGAAACGAGTGAGAAACGAGTGGGAAACGAGTGGGAATACGAGTGGAATACGAGTGGAATACGAGTGTGAAACGAGTGGGAAACGAGTGGGAAACGAGTGGAAAAGGTGTGGGAAAGGAGTGGGAAAGGAGTGGAAAGGAGTGGAAAGGAGTGGAAAAGGAGTGGAAAAGGTGTGGGAAAGGAGTGAGAAAGGAGTGAGAAAGGAGTGGGAAAGGAGTGGGAAAGGAGTGGAAAAGGAGTGGGAAAGGAGTGGGAAAGGAGTGGGGAACAAGTGGGAAAAGATACAGCAATTTTGTAGCCTCGTATAGCGTAAACCTAGCTACAGGTTGTGTTAGGATAAGTTACTGGAAGACAGTGGGAAACATTACTTCATGTCGTAAGGTGTACGAATTGGAAGTTTTTTTCTCACTCTTTTGAAAACCGCTCCGCCATCTCTACTATCAACTCATTAACTAATATGAAGGAAATTAAAACTATAGCCAACTCACCTCAAGGAACGCATCAAATAGCCCCTGCAGTTTATCCTTATAGTCAAAGACTGCATCAGGTATGGTCTTTAGATAACAGTTAACAAACGGCTTCAATCCTAGAATACTGGGCTCCAGATATACCATACCACATCTACTGACAGTAGCAGGAGAAGCCACAGCCAGGTCCTGGACTTCAAACATCATGGTCATTACCTGAAATCAAGAGCCACTTTCATTAATCTCCATCTCGTGTATATATAATTTTTAGGTGTGCCTCAGAGATCAGTTATGGGGCCTTTTTATTAACACAAAACTTATTTGAGTCGAACAACAATGCATCCAAAATCTAATTGAGTCAAATAAAGGTGTGCTTCATAGGTATGTTATGGGGTCATTTCCACATCAATTCAAATCTCATTTGAGTAATACAACAGTGTGCCTCAAGGATCAGTTATGGGGCCATTTCCACATCAATTCAAATCTCATTTGAGTAATACAACAGTGTGCCTCAAGGATCAGTTATGGGGCCATTTCCACATCAAT